CTCAGAACAAGATATTACCGAGAAAACATCCTTTTTCAATAAAGTCATCATCTTAAAATCATTTGTAATTTAAAAGAATAAGAGCTAAATGCAATTTTTTTTAAAAAAAAAGCAAGCAAGAGTCATGGCAAAAGTTTGTTTCAGAAATCAATAGATCTACTCCAATTGGTCAAATCTGGAACATGTTTAGAAATATATCTGGGAAAAATTCACACACACTCTCTAAAATAATTAATAAAATACATCAGACATTTACGTCCTAATGTAATATATCTGAAATAATGGCAAATCAATATTGTACCCGCTTCTAGTGATGAAAGCTATTCAATAGAATTCTTACATAAGAAACGATTTGAAGAAAATAAAGGAATACCAATAATAAATGACCCTTAACCAATAATCAATTCTATAAGCTTGACTGAACTTATTGAAACTCTTAACTCCGTTAGAAATACTAGTCCAGGACCAGATAATATACTTGTGCTTTTCTACAGAACCTACCACCAGTAAATCAAGAACTATTATTGCAACTATTCAATTTTATATGGACCAATAAAGTATTGCCACACATATGGTACTCGTCAATCATAGTTCCAATACACAAACCAGGTAAACGTAAATTTGAAGCAGAATCCTATAGACAAATTCTCTCGTGAATGCAATGTGTAAGTTGCTAAAAAAGATCACTGCCAATTGATTCATGTGGTATACTGAACGTAAACATCTTATATATACCCGAACAAAGTGGATTTACTAAAAATAGACCAACATTAGATAACTTTAATATCATTGGAATCAGAAATTCACGAAGCATTTATATGCAATCAAGAATGTTTAGCCATATTCTTTGATCATGAATTGGAAGATTCACGCTAATATGGATTTAGGAGAAATAGATTAACATTAGATAACTTAATATTATTGGAATCAGAAATTCACGCAGCATTTGTAAGCAATCAAGAATGTTTAGCCATATTCTTTGATGTAAAAAGGCTTTTGATGCAGTATGGCGCTATGAAATTTTAACGTAATAATCTCCATAATGATCACTCCATAATCGAAAGATTCACGGTAACATGTTTGCTTTTATTTCAAAATTTTTACGGAAACGATATTCCAAGTTCGAATCAATAACCACTTGACTGAATCTAAATTAACAGAAAAATGGGATTTCATAGTACAAGAAAATAAGCGTAGCGCTATTTTTAATTGCATTATTAACAATGTTGTATCATACTGCAATGTCACAATTAAAACTTTTTTGTATGCTGATGATCTGGTAATTCTAACATATGGTAATATGAGCAGATAATAAAAACATATATTATTATCTGCTCATAATCGTGTTGCTGCAGCTCTTCAGTCGATAGAATCGTGGTCTAACAATGTTGGGCTCCAGTTTTTTCACCACAAAAACAAAAGCTATACATTTTTCACGAACATTAAATCCACAAATGCTCTCAAATCTATTTTTATACAATTCTCCTATAGAATATACAAAATAAATCAAATTCCTAGAGATGCAACTAGACTCAAAATTAAGTTAGACAAGTCATATACACTCGCTAAGACTATCGTGCCAAGCTGGACTAAACATTATGAAATCTGTATCACATAAAAATTGGGAAGCAGATTTTCCAACTCCAATAAATTTATATGTGTATAACACTGCAAATCAAACATTGCTCAAAACTTTGGATACTCTTCCGAGTTCAGCCGTTAGACTTGCTCTAGGAGCATATTGCTCCAGTCCTTTGGATAGTCTACTCTGTGAAGCTGAAGAACCACCCTAAACCTAGGAAGTAAATGCTTAAATCTATCGTATGTCTCGAATATAAAATCTAACTCAAAAAATCCAGCTCTTTATCATGCTGTTGCTAACAGGTTCTAGGAGGTCTATCAAAAAGAAATAGGGGTCCTGTACCTCTCTATGAACGAGCTAATAGATACTTATTAGATTTTAATTTTGAACTACCTCCCATTTATCCTACCTGTGAAATAAATTTATGTTTTTCTTGGGTTGTTCCCCTCTCCGCTTTGTAACCTTTAAACTTACAGCATATAAAAAAAAAATAACGTGATACCCAATTTGTTTTAAACCTCACTTTCTCCATGTTCTTACATAGCACAAAAATTACCATTTTATATATATGGACGCACCTAAGACCATAAATCGAGTAGGAGCATGCTTTGTAATATCACATGAACATTCCATCTATAAATTATCTCCTAAGACAAATATTTTTATAGCAGAACTATTTGCCATCAATAAGGCCCTAATCTTTATTCTAGAAAAAAACTTCCCAAATCTCTTATAATATCTTATTCACTTAGTTGTCTGACATCAATTTCTCAGATTTATCCCTCTCATTCAACATTACAGAAGATTAAGTTAATTTTATACCATATATCCCAAAACAATTTGACAGTAGAGTAGCTCTGGGTACCGTCACACGTTTGAATAGATGGTAACGAAAAGGCAGATAGTCTTATCTGCCTTATGTCTTATCTTAGAAAATCTAACGGTGCATTTAGATTTAAGACCTTACTTAAAATCAAAATTGCACGATGTTTGGCAAAAACAATGGAATAGAAGCACCACTAAATTGATAAAAATAAAATCTTCCATTCTTCCATGGAACTTCTAGCCTTCAAAACGACAACATCAAGTCCTAATAACACGTCTTCAGATTAGGACACACTTCTACAACACATGAATACTTGTTGAAGAGATAAGAGGAATCAGTGTGTTTTGTTTGTGAATGTAAAGTGACAGTAAAGCACATTTTGATTGACTGTCCAATATACTTAGTTGAAAGACTATATCACCACATTCCAAAAACATTAAAAGAACTTCTAGGAGAATTTAAATACGTAGCTGACTTAATATAATTCTTGAAATCTATAACTTTTTAAATAAAATTTAATACAACACATCAATAATTAAAGTATATATTATATACATTATTATGTAATTGATATTTGGTATATGCCTTAAGTCTTTATCCCTTTTTGTATTTTTCTTATGCTAATAACCCTAAGTGGTTGAAGCAAGATAAATGAAACAAAAATAATAGGAAAATTTTTTTTACCTCATTATCATATCATACAAATCCGTATCGAATCAGAACACATACTGAATAAAGAAAGCTCGTATAAAGATATTGTTCAAGAAAAAAATCGCTTAAGGTAGATCGGACACATGCATAGACGCCAAGATGTCAAACTTGTAAAACTGGTATCGATGGAAGTTAGCACAGAAGAATGCCACTTGGGCATCTCAATATACAATGGAGAGAAAACATACAATCAAATTTTAAAAAATAAACATTTCATTTGATTGCAGATTCGTGGAAGATCGGTCAACTTGGAGAAAAATTGTAGTTAGCGAAGACCCACCCAGTGTTGTAGCGCTAACGTAATGAAGATGATAAAGAGAAAGGAGAAACAGTGACAAAAATCAACAAAAATGGACTAATGGAGCAAAAGCTGCTTCAAAATCTTTGATTGGAGAGGCTTAAAAATAAAAGTATAAGAAATGCAATGGCTGATTGATGGATTCGAGAAACTTGAGACTTGAGAAGAGCACTCTGCCGAAAAAAGCTGTGGTGATACGATAGAATTAATTTGGTGGAAACTTTAAAATAAAGTTTTTAGTGTTTTATTGTTAAATAAAATGGAATTTAACATACGACATTATATACGCTATAATAACTAGACAACTTATATAACATTGACATATAAAGAGAAAGTTTACTGAAACAATAAACTACTCAATATTTGTTATGAGTGGAAACGATATGAGTAAACTAAATGGAGATAAAGAAACAGAAGACGACAAAGTACGTTTTAAATTGAATAATGTATACAATTTTTAACAATGTATATTTAAAGGTCATTGTCAGAGCCAACGTGCTAAATGTATGTGAAATAAAACTGTTTAAGGTAGATATGTTACAAATATACCCAAAACTAAAAACAATCGATGTTTATATGAAAGATGAAACCATGCGACACCTACACATTATCACATAATAATTGTGGACGGTATATTTTACTAATTTTACAGGATTCGGTATCGTAAAAAGAAGTAAAATTTCACTTCCAGGCCATTGAAATGTGTTAAATTTTACTTTAGATATTCTTTTATAAATATAATAAGTAAAATTCATCTTCTTATTGTGCCGTATTCTAATACAGGTTGATGATTACTTCTTTCAACACTTTCCATAAATTATTATTGTTTAAATTTAACTACTTTATAAAACAAATATTGCACGTCGTAAACTGCAGTAATTGAAAAACTATAATGATCTGTTTTCAGAGTTCTCTTTAATTTTTATGTGGTTTATCATAATCCTACCGAAAGGCTTCTACTTTCTTAAACTATTACAAGATAACTCTGTTCGATATTCGCACAGTTAGAGACTAAATGTTTAAGTGCCCATCGCATTTTTAAACAAAAAATGATAATATATTAAATGGAAACTAAACCTTTTTCAAGTATATAATAGATACTTTTTTAAATTTGAAAATAATTAAACTAATTAAGTTCCAAAATGTACCGGCTATAAAATTTGAAAATCTACTACTAATAAAATTATTGGCAACATCGCAGGAGTTTAAAAGTGTACGCGAAAGTTATATACGGGCCCCAAAAATGTTTTATCCTATTACGGAGTCCACTTGATCCGACGTGTTGGTCGGAGTCTAACATAAAGCGCTACTTAGATAATAATATACACGGCGTATATTTCTCCTGGAGTTCGTATAATACCCTTTTAGTACGGAGCCTACATTAACCGCTAGAAAGATATATATATAATATATATAATATATATATATATATATATAATTATATAATATATATAATATATATATATATATAATATATATATATATATATATATAATATAATTAATTAATTAGATGGTTAGCTGCTGCCCTCCAATCCAACATTTGTGCATTTCTGAAAAGTAATGCAAGGAAAAAAACAGTAATTTTCTAGTCATTATATATTTGAATCGGATATTCAGTACACTATAGCAGTAATAAAAATCAACCTAAAGGATATAAACAAAACGTAAACACTTCTTTAATAAAACGATATTAAATAGAAAACAAAAATTGGCTTAAAGTGTCCTGAAAAGACCGGTACGAGTATGAAAAGCCTAGCTTGTGGTAGGCTCGATTGTTTCCCCTCCGCGGATCTGACCCCATCCGATGAGACGCCAATGTTTTTCAACACGTCTACTGAGTGCAATCTTTTCACCGATCTCTGTACATACTGGATTTGTTAAAGCGATCTTGCACAAATCGGCCTTAGTGGCTACAACTCGTCCTCCTGTGCTGAGGGATCCAATGTTCACAAGGAGCACTTCACTTCGGGTCAATCTCTGGACTTTGGCTCCTTTCTTGTCGCCTTCTGTACGGACTCCCAGCAAACGTTTCAATAGATAGTAACTTACCTAAAAAAGTATTTTATGAATAAATAGTTCCAATATTGCTCAATAAGATCTGAGTAGGATATGTTATATGATAACTTGAAATTCAATAGAATTGTCTTTCATTGTGATTCATTTTCTAAACTAAATTTCAATAAGCGATGCAGGGCGTGTAAAGATAAAATTGTATTTTAATTGTTAAAGTTGTTCAAATTTGATCTAATTGTTCCGATAGTAACAGTACCTATATTATTAAGATTACTTTATCAATTTTTGCCAAGTCGACAAGGGAAGAGCTGGAACAATAATGGGATATTAAGGACTCGGGGAACGTAATGACAGAGGAGATCGTCTAATACAGTTCTGCGAGAACAAAGTTTCAAATCACAAACACGTTGTTTAAATTACCTATAAGACAGTTATATACATGACGCTCACCAACAGATAAACTGGAAAAGGAAACCAAATCGCTTATATAATAGATAGAGAGAGATATCTTAAAAACTATCTCAAATCTGTTAAAACATATCCAGGAGCAGATGTGAGACCATAACCCACAAATCCCTAATGTCACGCTTAAGCTAAATGTATTAGAAAACCCCAAAGAACTTCAAAATTAGTTGTTAGAAAACTGAAAAAAGCTGATATAAAAATAAACTTCAACAGAAAATATACGAAAACTTTGATAAATAGATACTAACACCTACGAGATAAAATAACAACGGGAAACATTAAAAAACTGCCTCCTCGTTCCATGCAGAGATATTAAAAGAACCGATATGAAAGAGAGACAACTGGATGACCGACGCAATACTCGGCAGGATGGACCAAAGAAGACAAGCCAATAACAAAGACAGACAAAATTACAAAATCATTAACGATGAGATCAGAAAAATGATAAGAGAGGCAAAACAAACTTACTCTGAGGAAAAATGTAAAGAGATAGAAGATCTTCAGAACAAATACGACCTTTTCAACCTACATAAAAAGGTTAAAGAAATGACAGAGCTGTAAAAAAGAAACCACAACATAACTCTTTTAGATAAAAGTGGAAATACTATGATAACGACTGACGAAAAGCTAAAACGAAAGAAAAAATATATGGAAGAGCCTTTCGACGACGAAAGAGGAAACCTACAAGACATATCTTTCGAGGACAGAGAAACAAGTATAGAAATTATAAAGGAAGAAGTATTGTATCCACTAAAGAACATCAGAAACGTAAAAACCCGGGCTCAACTGACCATTAATATTCTTAAAATAATAGAAAACGGGTACATAGATGTCCTCAAAATTTATTTGTCTCCCAACAAAGAAAACTGCTAGAGAATGCACCGACCACCGCATCATAAGCCTGATGTCTCACACACTTAAAACGTTTTTAAAGATCATCCATAAACGCATTTACCAAATACTTGATATGATTATTGAAGAAATCCAATCTGGATTGCGTAGAAGCGTAGTTATACGTGAAGTTCTCTTTGCATTCAACGTACTAATCCAGAGGTGCTTGGATATAACCCAAGATATGTACGTCTGTTTCATAGATTACAACAAGGCTTTCGATAAAGTCCGCCACAAAGAGTTAATGAACGTCCTCAAAACAAAACAATTACAATGCAATGACCTTCGAATTATAAAAAATTCATATTATAAGTAGCACGCATACATACGCATTAATGAACATACATTAGAAGAGTTCGAAATTAAAAGAGGAGTGCAACAGGGTCTGTGTTGTCACCACTACTATTCAATGCATACTTTGGAAAAATTATGAAAATAGCTCTTGAGGGAGAAACAACAGGAATAAAGGTCAATGGAACACCAATTAACAACATTAGATATACGGACGATACTATCATAATAGCAGACAATCTCCAGAAGCTAATGAACAAGATTGTTCAAGATGAATATGGAGAAGAATATGGATTATCAATGAACATCAAGAAAACTAAATTTGTGAGGATATCAAAAAGCCAAAATAATGATGAAGCCTGACAACTAACGGTTAGACTTTAGAACAAGTTGAAAACTACAATTATCTTGGCACAAGAATTTCATATGGACGCAACAGTATTTTCCTTCAATATGGACTAATTCCTACATCCTACCTAAAAGATAAGAAATCAGGATATAGTGTGGAATCATATCATACAGGCCAATCTTAATTACTTGTTCCATGTGGAAACTTTTTGAACTTTGGAATTTTGAACTAATTGAACTAGTTCATCAATTTTCATAGAACTAGTTCACTGCGAACGATTTGCATTATAAATTGTGTCTCAACTTCTAAAGAAAAAAATAATGAATGAATAAGATCATATATTTCGAATGGAACGGGTCGAATTACATAATCCCTGATAGAAACAAGGGGAGTAGGCTTTCTCTTTATCTTCCTCTGCTCGTCCTACTAGCAAAGCTGATTTTGACGTTGAAGGTTGAGGTTCTTGAAATGTATTTTCTGATTTTTCGGGCCCTTTTTCTATGTATCTTTCAACATTGAGATATTTGAGATTGATAGCAGAGTGTTTCATTCTTAAATGTCTTGATAAATTGCCCAGTGAACCGCTTGCAATACTAATATTACATGAACAGTAATTACATTTAGCAGATTTTTGATTTTTATCGTTTTTCTCGAAATGATTCCATAAAAAACTTCTATTTCGTCTGTTACTCATCTTTTGGGATTGATTAAGAAAATTTATTATTATGAAGAAAAACTAACTAATATAATAATTTAAAACATTTAAACCTAAACCAACGATCGAAAGAAATGATTCCGAATCCGAACTAGTTGTACGCCGTATGGTAATGAAAGACTGAAAACCGAAGAAAACGGGCGGGCAGCGCCGAGTTTGTGTGATGATTGAGACGAGACATCTGGCAACCAGTTATGCTAGGGTTGGATTTCGATTTCGATCCTACTAATAGTTCTTTCGCGAACTAGTTCACTGAACTAATTCATTTTTGTGAAATAGTTCTCTTGAACTAGTTCATCTAAAAGAACTAATAAGCACACCTCTAATTGGAACAAAATCGATTACTGATTACTGAACAAAATGGATTTAGGCAGAATCGATCAACGGCTGATAACATTCTGGAATTCGAAAGCGATAATATGGAATCGTTTGCAACTAATAGAAAATGTACCGCGATATTTTTTGACTTAACAAATGCCTTTAATACTGCCAGGAAACATAGGATTCTAAAAACGGTGTATGAGTGGAATATCCGGGAACACCGTTTATCGTTCATCAACAATTTTTTAACCGATCGGACTTTTCGGGTAAGAGTTTCCAATTCGTACTCGGAAACTGACAACTTAACAAATGGAGTACCACAAGGGTCTGTTCTTAGCCCAACACTCTTCCTAATAGCGATTAATGATGTTTTGAAAAACAGAAAAACAGTCGCGGATTTATGCTGACGATTTAGTGGTATTTATAAAAGGAAAAAATATAGATAGTATGACAAAATGTTTACGAAGCTTTATCAATAAACTGGAAACATGTTTTCTGAATACTGGCTTTGAATTTTCTACTACAAAAGCAAGAATCATGGTTTTTTGCAAAAACAGCTAATGTAAGTACTGCGTCAAATCTTACGTTATACGGGAAACCAATAACAGTAGATCCGCATATTAAATTTTTAGGAATGCATTTAGACAACAAACTGACAAAAGCAATTACAATTAACTTTCATAAGAGAATAAATATTTTAAAAACATCAACCAAAATACAATATCAGTATACAAATCGTTAATCAGGTCTAAACTCGATTATGGATGCATCGCTTATTGTTCAGCCAGAAAGTCTACTTTAAAATATCTAGATACAATTCATAATAATGGTCTAAGAATCGCACTACGAGCATTAAGCACACCTCATATATTCTGAACTTGGCGAGCCATCCCTTTACCACAGGCGAATGCAACTGACATTAACCCATTCATCCTCGGTATACTGTAATCCAGAAAAACCTATTTACATTAAGACCTTCACAGATAAATATGACGAACTTTTAATTATAATGATAATGATACTATGAAAGAATTAGAACATAAAAGCAAGAAATTAAACTTTGATTTTCCTGACATATTCGATCCAAACATAACCGATCCTCATATCCCTTGGTCAATCAATATTCCACAATGTAATGTATATTTGAGCAAATATAATACGTAGGAATAAGTCGGAAATACTTCCCTCAGAAATAAAAACTATTTTGTCAAACAATGGAGTTGGTGCTGCTTTTGTGATCAATTCAAGTAAATATCTATTTTAACTATCTCCCCACTGTAGCATATACACAGCCGAATTATTCGCTCTTTGTTGAGCAATTAAGTTTATTAATAATACCAATATCGTCAAAGCGGTGATTCTTTCTGATTCTCTGAGTTCGATTACTTCATTTCAACGAGTATATCCTAAACACCCAATTGAAAAAATTATCAAATCGAATTTCGCACATGTCAAGAAAAAGGAAGAACAGTTGACTTCATATGGATTCCTTCTCATGTGGGTATCCCCGGAAATGAAGAAGCAGACTTAAGTGCACTAGTGCGGACTCAGAAATAATATTAAAATGCGGTCCAGAAGACTTAAAGCTTTCTATTAAGACAAAAATCTTAGAAGTCTGGCATAACGAATGGCAAATATCAACGTCTAAACTACGACAAATTAAAGACACAGTTAAAGGAACTAAACATTTTTACAACAATTGCCATGAACAGAGTGTAGTTAACCGATTACGATTAGGCCATACTAGACTCACACACTCTTATCTTTTTTTCAAAATGTAACCCACCAATATGCGTGCGCTTCAATTCAACCTTAACAGAAAAACATATATTTGAATATGACAAATTCAATCATCAACAAGCTCTTTATAATATAGATTCAAATTATCAGTTGTGTTAGGTTAAAATAGTTTTAACTTTTTTTTTGTATAAAATTGCTGACTTTTTTTTAGTACTAATTTGTAAGAAAAAAATCTTTTTTGTAACCATGTAATATACCTATTCT